CATCAGAAGGCCTCAACAACTCATTCGGAAGCAATCCAGACCAAAACAACCAATTACAGAAGCAAATCCCAATTTCGGGTAAAACCAGAACAGCAATAGTAATTTCGACTTATCTCATTCTACGCTACACCGATTGACCTGAAATTTTGTAGACACCTATAAAATATCATTCCCTTAAGGGTTTCTATGGAACAAAAACAAGATTAAACGGTTGATTGGTTGAATTTGAGCAAGATTGAAGCAAGAGTTTGGAGAGTTTTTCTTTCCCTTTTGTTGCTTGAAGAGAATCGGCCAAGGAGAGAAGAAAATAAGGAAATTTTTGGTCAATTTTGATATTAATTTGGTAAAGACATGAATAGTGGTCATACAAGTCAATCCAACCAAATGGTGACACTTGTCACCTAATTAATGAATCTCTATCTCTTTGTTCCCTCTCACACCAATCCAAATAACATCCTCTACTTATCCCTTAACACCTGGTAAATTAAATCCAGTATCCAAAACTTAACCTAGTTGGCAGAAAATTGCCGAACTTTTCGCACTAGTGGGTCCCACGTCCAGTATTCACTCTTAATTTCTCAAAACCTATTCAATACTAGAAAATCATCTAAAAATTATATTTACTCATAAAATTTATCTAGAAAATTTTCCGGATACAGAAACTGCAGAAAACAAATCATTGAAAATAAGAAAACCTAGAAATATAATAAAACCTAGAAATTGGAAAAATTACGGGTTCTCACACTCTCTCCCCCTTAAAGAAATTTCGCCCTCGAAATTTTCTCTTCAAAATTTAAAGTAACCAATGGCCTGTACCTTCTCCGTCTTCAGAGTCAGAAGAAATGAGGTTCTTCATTCCAGTCCCTTCTCCACTTGACGGTCCAGGGTCAGTCTTGGTTGGCTGCTGGGTTCCCTTCTTTTCGGGCACTAAACCCGGACAATTAGCAATCAGATGCTCGGCGCTCCCACAACACAGACATCTCCTCCCCTTTAACCAACAATCTACTTCAATATGATTGGATTTTCTACAATATCCACAAATTATCACACCACCCGTTCCACGGCCCTTCTTAGCAAATGATCTACCAGCTTTACCCATTTTCTTTACATGGAAGATCTTCAGTTGTGGCCCTGCAGTTCCCGTCCTTTGAGCTTCCTCTGGCGTCCCCATAGAAGTATTACCTTGTGCCATTGCTACGGTCTCCTAGGAAATCTCTTCGTATTTCCTCTTTAACTCCATGTTTTGGTGTAAGAGCTCAAGTTTCTCCGAATACTCTTGCTTCCATTGCCTTTCCCAGTACTCGGTCAGCCTCCTTTGAACCTCTATTTCATCTCGGAGAACCGAAATTTCTTGATACGGATCAACCCAATGTGTCATCTTACGGAAGTGCTGGAACTCGGGTACTAGCCTGTCGGGCAAAACAATGAGTCATAATACATTCCTAAGTACAAGTGGCATTCTCGATCCTCGTCCAGTTATTGTTTCCCTTTTCTTCTCTTGATTCTTGGCCTCGCTTAGTTCCACGGCCACGACCACGTCCACGACCACGTCCACGACTGCATATTCCTTACATATATATATATTTATATTTTTTTCTCTCTTTTCTTTTTCCCCTTTCCCCAAGGTAATTCAACGCATAAATACAGTAAAGTGACAAATGTAACGGCCCCACTTCTCCCTAGGGCGTACCCTAGGGTATCGGCGGACCGCCTGCCCAGCTCTCGCCGGGACTCAGTCAGTCGCTATAGGAGAAGACAATAAAGTCCATAAAACAAACGAAATATCAATAATTTCAAACTTAAACGTAAACTTATATACATATCCATCCCAAAAGCAATACAACTAGGTACAAAGGTTCTCCGTTCTCCATACAACCAGCCCACCAAACATTGGGGCGAGAACCATAACAAAAGAGCCAAAAGTACTAGTTCGGCTAGACTATACGTAGCTTCCATCCTTGCACGTCTTCCCCTGCTAAGGAAAATAAAAAAAAACTAAAGGAATGAGCTGGAAAGCTCAGTGAGGTTCCGTACACATAGTCAACAAGAGAATCAATGCATTCAATACATTTAACAACAATTCAAGATACAAGTACAAATAAAGCGGTAACCACATTCATGAAAAGGATACGTGCTCACAAGGAGCCATTCGTTCAATCGTTCATTCATTCATTCTCCTTTCTTTCCCCTACCTTCAATCATTTGAAAAATGCATTTTGCATGAGTAAAACCCCTCGTCCATTCATTCACTCATTCATTCATTCATTCTCCCCGTCCCTGGCTTTTGGCCAGGCTCCACCAACCTACAGGGTAATACTCGAGTATACCGAAACGTTCACCCAAGTTCCTTGTCGCCCGATCGAGTCCGCTTCTGGCTCGAGACGACCGGTAACAAGGGGCAATGGCCAGTTCAGCCCGAAGGCTTACATTCATGCACAATTAACATTTCAATCGCTCAATCATTAAAATTTCACAATCATTTAGGCTAAGTGCGATAAAGTACACACTCGCCTCAAAATCATTTTAGCAATCATTGAAAGCGTTTAACATGCTATCAATCATTCAAACAAGCCATATAATCAGGAAACAAATCAAACAAGGAACACTCACCTATACACGTAAAATAACGCCCACTTCTCAATCACCAATGAAACCTAAAAGACACAAAGACCACATTACAATCCATCTAACATGATTTAGATGCAATCAAGAAATACTCGACTACTCGCGAGTAAACGAATAAAAGACTTTCAAAGTGTAAGGAAGGCATTTGGATCCGTGGACAAGAATAACCCTAATGCAACCCAAACCAAGAGGGTTATAAAATCTCTAAGAGGGAACACTTAACTCAAAACAATTCAAAATTCCAATAAATAGGCTAAGAAAACATTCTTTCGAAATTGCTCATATGACTCAAAAGCATATATATTCAAGTGGCCAATAAATAACCAATGCCTTGATAAAAATCATGTGAAAAGAAGGGCAAAATACTTTAACTTCCACACTTAAAACCTTGCTTAGAAACAATGCACTTATGGACGATAAAACCCGAACTCATACCTCTATAGGTTGGAAAGGCTTAAGGAACCTTTGAAGTTTGAAACGGAAGAGGTATCATGTTTTCAAAAGATAAAACGGTTACCTTATTTGCCAAATGACAATATACAATTCGAACCGAAACTTAGCCTTCGAACCCTTATTCAAGGACCCGAAGACACTTCCAAGGAAAAACGTTCAATTTGATACAAAATACATTTCCAAAAACCACTTTAACTCATTCAATTTCCAAGAAAATAAATGGACGACATATCCCTTGTGTTTACCTATTTTCCAGCCAATAATGGCTTCATTATTTTTCTCAAATCAGTCCCAACATGTCATATAGAATAATCTCATGTCCAAAAGCCATTCACTAGGCTTAAAGTCATATAAATACAACAAGAACTACGAAAAACAAGCTAAAAACATTTTCAGATAAAACAATGCGTGACAACATTTTACGGAAATGGCACTAAAGGCACTACGATTATTGGATTAGGGTGGAAGACCCACCGTTTCGAAGCTAAGAGACAGGGCTACAACAATGTAGAAGGTCACTCAGTCCAGTTCCTAACGCAACTAGGTCAAATATGCAAAATACTATACCAGAATTCCCAAAACAGGTTTGCAAATCACCCAAAACTGTAATTACTATAACTCAGTCTATACAAGTCCAAATGCCGAAATTCCAAAGGCATATGTTATCTAAGACATTCAGCTACATTTCATCAGAAGACACCAACTTCAAAATCCAAACCAATTCCAGTCAAAATAGCCAAATACAAACTCAGTTTTCGCATTCTGGCCAAAGCAGAACAGCTACAGTAATTTCGTCATAACTCACTCTACGCTAATCCAAATGCCCTGAAATTTTACAGGCACCTTAAACACATCAATACCTACAACTTTCATGTTTTGAGAAAAGTCCAATTCGGCCTCTAACCCTATGATCTAAAACCGGACAGAATTAGGGGTTTATGAACCCTAACTTTCCATTTTTCCATCCAAGTCCAAAATTGATTGCATTTAACCACAATTCACACCTACTAGAGTCATTTTAAACCATTACCATTCATTATACAAGGCCACAACATCCCATTCATATAAAACCAGAAAATTCATCATAAAATGGAAAACTTCACCAAAACACTTCCAATCAAGAAATAAATCACATATTCCAACCCTCAAGCCACTTCTAAGCATAATATAACCATCATTAGGTGTAGTAGGGTGTTCAAGCATCACTTACCAAGTAACAAGAGATGTAGAGAGGTTGGCCACCTTAGACCTTCAAACAAACTTCACTAATACACTTACTATCACTAAAAGGAAAGATTTTATGGAGTAAAACTAATCTAAGCTTTTGTTTGTAGAAGATTGAAGCATATGGAAGCTTGAAAGTTGAAGAATTTCCTTCCTTCTTTGCTCAAGGAGAACCGGCCATGGAGGAGAAGAAAATGGTAATTTTTGTGAATTTTTTTATATTTAATCCTTTGGTCAAAAAAGTCAAGAATGTGAATGGTGTTTCTTAAAGTCCAACCAATGAGAAGGTGACACTTGTCACCTCATTAAATGCATTCTTATCTTTCTTTTCTCTCTCACATAAATCACTTCACACACACTACTTATCTCTTAACACCCGATAAATTTTTCACAGTATCCGAAACTTAACCTTATTGGCCGAATTTTTCCGAACTTTTCGCACTAGTGGGTCCCACATCCAATATATATTCTTAATTTTCTAAAAATTCACCAATGCTAGAAAAATCATCTAAAAACTATAATTGCAATGAATTTTACTTGAATTGAAGCTATGTACACAGCCAATTGATTAACAATGATTTGTTATGTACTTAATTTGTTATGTTCATGTGAATCAACTGCATTTTTAGGTAGATAAGCTAATCAAAGTTACTTTTACTTTGATGTTATCTAAATCCGTGATGCTTGTTATCTAAACCCTAGCGATCATAGCAAGGATGATTGTGTGATGCTTCATCCGGAGTTGAAGGCCCAGGCTCGGCCCACTGGGGAGGCGTAGCCTCAGGAACGACGCAAAGGACGGCCGCCGGCTGCGGCTGTGGCGGGTGAGAAGGTAGCGGCGACGGGGGAATTGGTTGCGCCTGCGCTTGTGGGCGAGAAGCACAGAGTGTCGGGGGTGGTTCTCGGGCCTGATGCGGTGCCTGGGCCTGGGTCGAGTGCCCAGGCTGCTGAGCCAGTGGCGGCAGCATCCCCGACTGCGGGGGATGGGTTGGGAGTCTCGGCCCTTCTGGGGATGCAGGCCACTCACAAGGGGACTCCGTTAGACCTGGATGATGTAGTTGTGGAGGAGGCTTCGGATGACGAACACCAGGATGGGGTGGAGGAGGCAGCGGTCTGCTTGCTACCGCAGGGCAGCAGGAGCCTGGTGCAGTGGTGGAGCAGCTGGTGGAAGACGCTATTGCCTCGGCTGCGGAGGCGATCTTTGATGACCTTGCCGACAAGGTGGCTGCGAAGGCGGTTGATGACGAGACCGCTTCGTCGGTGCACATGCAGCAGGAGCAGGTTGCAATATTAGAATTGAATCTGTCTCCACGCAAAGCTGCTCCTCCCTTGGCAGCCATGGAGGCCCTTAAACGCCGGCGTGGCGACTTGAAACAGTGACAGCCTGGGGTGGTCGCGGCCCCACAAGGTTTTCCCCCTTACTCTTCTTCTTTTCCTTTACGTGATGTTTAAGTCATTGTTTTGGAATGTTCGGGGTTTAGATAACTCCATCACTATAGCTCGTTTACGTAAGTTGCGTCTATTGCATAAATCTTCCTTATTAGGGGTCTGTGAACCCAAAATGGATGCTTCTCGTTTTGATTGGATTCGCCAGAGGTTGGGCTTTGATGGTTGTTGTCCTACCAATGATGGCCGCCTTGTTGTTTTTCACTCTAGTGAATTTTCTTGCTCTATTATGGGTCAATCTTCTCAGTATTTGGCCCTCCGCGTGACGCACTCTCAGATGAGTACTGAGGTGGTTGGGGTCTTTGTGCATGCGGCCTGCTCAGTCAGTGACCGCTGTGAGCTTTGGGCGGACTTACGTGCTTTGCAAGTGTTGGGTCTTCCTCTTCTCTTTCATGGTGACTTTAATGTAATCTTGTATGCGGAGGAGAAGAGAAGAGGTCGGCCTTTTCGCAGGGCTGAGTCGGAGGACTTCCATGCTTTCATTCAGGATTTGGACTTAACAGATGTGGGATTCTCTGGGAACCAGTTTACGTGGTGTAATAATCGTCAGGGTAGGGCGCGGGTCTGGAAGCGGTTGGATCGAGTCCTGGTTGATCGCGGCTGGTTGGGTAGTGGTGTGGTGTCTTCGGTTCATCACTTGGCGCGCACTGCTTCGGATCATTCTCCGTTGCTGGTTTCTTACTTGATTTCAAGCTCGTCATCTCCGAGGAGCTTCCGGTTTCAAGATGTTTGGCTTCGGCATGCTAGTTTTAAGGGCGTTGTTCAGGAGGCCTGGCTCTCTGGTAGCACTGGCCGACCGCTGCGACGCTTCTTGCATAAGTTGAAGGCGGTTAAGGCGGCTTTGACTGTTTGGAACAAAAATGTTTTTGGTAACGTGTTCAATGCCGTAAAACAGGCCGAGGAGGAGGTTGCTCAGTTGGAGGCTGAGACGGCGGCCCGACCATCCCCGGAGGTGGACTTGCGGCTGGTGCAGGCTTCGTCGGTCTTGAAGGAAGCTTTGTTGCGTCAGGCCATCTTCTGGCGGCAGAAATCGAGGTTACGTTGGCTGAAGGAGGGAGATGCCAATTCTAAGTTTTTTCACTCTTATGTGCTTCAACGCAGGGTGAAGGTTCGTATTCATCAGCTTCAGACTTCCTCTGGTGCGTGGACTGATGATGTAGGTTCTATTCATACGATGGCGGAGACTTTCTTCTCTGACTTGTTTACCCAGGGGCCACTGGATCAGGTGACGGGGGATGAATTGTCTCGAATCCCGACAATTTTGTCGGAGGATGATAATCTGGATTTGGAACGGCTTCCTACTGCTGAGGAGGTTCGAGGGGCGGTCTTCTCTCTGGATAGGGACAGTTGCTCAGGCCCGGACGGGTTCCCAGGGTCCTTTTATCAGGCTTGCTGGGATATTATAGGAGGGGACCTCTCAGATGCAGTCGCGGATTTCTTTGTTGGTGCTGATCTCCCGTGTGGAATTTCGGCCACTTTGTTGGCCTTGATTCCTAAACAGTCGGCCCCTAAGACCTTTGCCGATTTTAGGTCGATTAGTCTCTGTAATTTCTCGAACAAGATTATTTCCAAGATTCTTGCGGCTCGGCTGGAAAAAGTTCTACCCCGACTCATTTCCCCTCAGCAAAGTGGTTTTGTTAAGGGAAGGGCCATTTCTGATAACATTCTGCTTGCTCAGGAGATGATTTCTAGGATTGGGAGAAAGGTCCGGGGTTCTAATGTGGTTTTGAAACTGGACATGGCCAAGGCCTATGACAGGGTATCGTGGATGTTTCTGCTATCTGTTATGCAGAAATTCGGGTTTGGTGAGGTTTGGCTGGACATGGTTTGGCGTTTGGTTTCCTCCTGTCATTTTTCAGTGTTGATCAATGGTGGTCCGGTCGGGTTTTTCAGGTCCACTAGGGGTTTGCGGCAGGGTGATCCGCTGTCTCCAGCGCTTTTCATCATTATGGCGGAGTTCCTGTCCCGCGGTCTGGAGTCTCTTCCGCTCTCTAGTGGTTTCATCCCTTATTCGGTTCCTTCGGGAGGGTTCCCCCCTGTGCATCTGGGGTATGCGGACGACGTTATAGTCTTTTGCAATGGGGGGCGGGCTTCGGTGCGAAAGGTCATGGGTGTTTTAACTGATTATCTGCGAGTGTCTGGTCAGCTGGTTAATGCTTCGAAGAGTTGTTGTTTACTCTCTAAGAAGGTTTCTGGTCTTCGCAGTCGGAGGGTTGCGGAGGAAACGGGTTTTGCTCGTAAGTCTTTGCCTATCACGTATTTGGGGTGCCCCTTGTATGAGGGTCGGCGATCTAAGTCCTTGTTTGCTGGGATCATAGATAAAGTTCAGGCTCGTTTGCTGTCCTGGCAGAATCGGTGGCTTTCCATGGGGGCGCGGCTGATTCTTATTCGGCATGTGCTTACGTCCATTCCAGTTCACTTGCTTGCAGTCTTGGAGCCCACTCGAGGGGCAATTTGGGAGATTGAGAGGATGTTTGCGCGGTTTTTTTGGGGGGATAACCATTTTCACTGGTGTGGTTGGTCTAAGGTGTGTTTCCCTGTGGAGGAGGGGGGCCTAGGGGTTAGATCTTTGCAGTCTATTTCTAAGGCCTTCTCTTGTAAATTGTGGTGGCGCTTTCGTCAACAGGACTCTCTGTGGGCGAGGTTTTTGTCTAGTTTGTACCTTCGGGGAGGTCATCCTAATCAGGTGGTGGTTGGTCCGTCACGTTCGGCGATCTGTCGGCGGTTGTTCCAAGTTCGTGAGAAGATGGAATTACAGATCCGTTGGGACGTTTCTCTGGGAGATTGTTATTTCTGGTGGGATAATTGGAGCGGTTTGGGCCCCCTTGGCTGGCGGTTTCCAGACCTTTCTTCCGACCAGAAGGTTAGTGACTTTTGTGTTCAGGGGAGTTGGGACTGGGTTCGTCTCTCGTCTTTCCTTCCTACGGAGATTTTGGATGTGATGGGGGAGACTTTTATGTGTGTTGGGGATCTGCCAGATCAGCCTTGTTGGCAGTTGGCATCCTCGGGCTCTTTCTCCACGGCCTCGGCTAACCAGCTGGTCCGTCGGGCTGGAGTGAAGTCTCTGGTCTTCCGGTCGCTGTGGGATTCCTCCATTCCACTTAAGGTTTCTTGTTTTGCATGGCGTTTATTTTCCGGTAGGTTGCCTTTGGATGATGTGTTACGTATTCGGTGCCGGTTTGCGGGGCCCTCCCAGTGCCCGTTGTGCTTGGCTGCTCAAGAGACGGCTGATCATTTGTTTTCCTCCTGCCTGGTGGCCCAGGCTGTCTGGTCATTTTTTGAGTGTCGGTTGGGGATTCCGATGGCTTCTTGCGGCTATCGGACTAGATGTATGACCTGGTGGTCTCAACCTGTGAGTAAGATGTCGATTCGGTGGTTGTACAGGATTTTGTCATTGATCATTCTTTGGTTTTTGTGGAAGGCTTCGAATAAATGGCGCTTCGATGGCATTAAGTGGACTGTCCAAACCTTGTGTTACTCTATATCTCATGAGCTTTGGCTTATTTGTTCTGTCAAGTTTCCTGGGCGTTCGCTTCCGCCTGAATTTGGGGGACTTGTGTCCGTCATCTCGGGGATCCAGCGCCCCTTAAGTTCTACTTTGGTTAGTTGGGAATTCCCGCAGAATGGGTTTGTCAAGTTTAATACTGACGGGTCCTCCTCATCTACGGCCGGTGCTAGTGGTATTGGTGGGATTCTCCGTTGGTCCAATGGATCGTTCCTTGGAGCGTTTGCGGCCAAGTTACCGCTGGTGGACTCTTTGCAGGCGGAGGCGTATGCAATGCTTCATGGACTCCAACTGTGCCAGCAGATGGGTTTCTCCATGGTCCAAGTTGAGTTTGACTCGCAGGTTTTTGTTCGTGTGGTGACAGGGAGTTTTTCGATTCCGTGGGCGGTACGGCCGCTGATTAGAGCGATTCGAGCAATTTTGCCGTTGGGGGTTCGTCTCTCCCACTGTTTCCGGGAGGCGAATACGGTTGCTGACTCTCTGGCTGCTGTGGGCGTTGCTTGTAGCGGGCGCTTGGATTATCCCACTTTGTCTTCTCTTCCACGCTTGTCTAGGTCCCTCTTTGTTTTAGATAGGGAGCAGGTTCCCAATTTCCGTTTCTCACTTCGTAGATAGGTTTTGCTCGTTGGCTTTTTGTTTTTTGTGCTTTAGCTCCTTGCTCTTTGGTTGTTTCTTAATAAAAGGGCGTAGTGCCCGTCTGCCAGATATGATTGGCAGTTTAAAAAAAAAAAAAAAAGGAAACTTGTGGAGTGGGAAATAAGTTTGGCAGAGACAAATCTCTTACGACCAAATATGGAATAACGACAAAAGTTGTTGATTACAAAAATATCATATTGCTTATATCACTTCCTACTCTAACTAACTTTCAACTTGATCAATAAACTCCTAACACATGCCTCTCTAGAATCATTAGCTACGATGGTCCTCAGCTCAGGTGAATTCTATGAATTTCCAGTAAAAGCGTGCTTCTCGAATCACGCCTTCTAGCAACCTTCCTTTGCCCATATTTTGTGCTTTCTCTTCTTTCTTTGCGCCTTCTCCATTCTTCATCCTTCCTTGATCTGTTGCTGAAGATTAATCCTCCCTCCCCATCATAGAGCTTCCCCCTTTAAAAAATCTTTTCCTAAAATTGGAACTGAGGAATTGTCTCTCAATTTCCTTAGCATCCTCCTATGTTGCTTCAGCTAGATCCGTTCTCCACCAATGAATCAACCATTGCATTGCTACAGTATTCCTTTTCTTAACTATCTTCCTATCCAATACTGCTACTAGTTCAACTCTCAAATGCCCATTTTCATTCATCTCAAGTAGTTTCAAAATGGGAGTAATTTTGTCTCTTATCTTCTTCTTCAGTAATGAGACATGGAAGACTGGATGGATCTTAGAATC